CGTTGGAATTTCGAACCGAACCCTTTATTTAGTCCACGGGGGTTAGATTGTTTTAGTTCCTTGTGTCATATCTATTTTGGATATCTCAGTTTCAGTTAATTACCCTTAGTAACACAACTAGGCAACGTTTTTGTTCCCTCTGTTGCAGCTAGGTATTGAACTCACAACTCTTTGGATCAAGTTACTGAATTATTTCAATCAACGCTTTAAAAAATAAGGACAACAGTCCAAACAATGTAAATAGTGTAAACAGTTGAGTGTTCAACATTTTTTATATTTTCTGGAGATACAGACACACACACACACGCATATATATATATATATATATATATATATATATATATATATATATATATGCGAGTGCAGAGGATTCGGAAAGAGTTGGATGAGCCTAATGGTGATTACGAAGGTGTTTAGAGTGATCACTAGTGATGGCAGCACGGAAAACTGACTCTGATTCCGATAAGAAAAGAATACCCAATTTCTTTAGTAAGTGCCTCAAACTCAACAAGGAGGCCGACATCAAATGCCTTGAGAAAGTAGTGCTGCCCTGGATCAAGAGGTTGGCTGCTGGAAGAACCCTATGTCTGGCAACAGGACTCTATTGACTTCCAATCATTCTGAAATGTTCGTATTGGACAAATAAAGATATAAAATGGTGACAATTTACTCATCGCACTATATATATATATATATATGCACACAAAATGTTAAAGATAGACTGAAGATAGGGTTGTGAGGTTGGTTGGCGTTTTAGCTTTTCTCATATATAAATAAAAATATATATATATATATATATATATATCATAAGAATAAGCATTTTCAGGCACTTTCCAAAGGTGTCACGCACTTGGATCGTCCTCCCAAGCTGATATGAAGAAGTTACCATCCTGACTAATCGACTGTGGTGAAGTTCGAACCCAGATCTCATGATCGAAAAGCGTGCAATGTATCGGTCACGCAGGCTGATTTCCTCTCTTTGGTAATGAGATATTCCATTATTATGCTTACCGTAAGCATTACTCGATACCGATGACTGAACATATTTCGTTATTTTTATTATAACCAAATAATAAAACCAAAATTGTGATTGAACGCTAAACTATTTGTAGGTATATTTTCTCAATTTTATCTTGTATATTTTCCACTCAAAAGTTCAAATACTCTGCCGACCTGGGTATGACGATAAACTACATCCGCGTCCTGGGTAAGATGATAAAATATATCCGACAGCAAGGTCTTTGATCAGGACTTTTTGAGCAATGTAGAAACACCTCATAATTTCCTGGTGTTTCGGGGTGGTAGCACCTGTAAGGGTCCCAGCTATGGGCAAATAGTTAACCCTCCAAAAGGGGTCAATGCATTTTTTTGAAAAATTTTACCAGCAATGAATTTTTGAAAAAAAAATTTGACCAGCAATACATTTTTGAAAAAAAATTACCAGCAATACATTTTTGGAAAAAAAATTATCACCAGAAATAAATTCTTGGAAAAAATATCATCAACAATATATTTTTGAAAAATAAAATTATTACCAGCAATAAAAAATTTGTCGGCATTAAATAACCTACTAAGGTTGATATGCCGTAAAGTAAAACAAAACAAACAAACAATCAAATACTGATCATCGAGAAAAAAGGTTGTTTTAACTTAGCAGTCGTTATGAGGGGAGAGAAAGAAAAGATATTTGGTACAAGTTATATAAATGTTGTGGATTCCGTGAATGGAATCCTGCACAAATAAATAAACAACGCCAGTAATTGAGATAGAAAAATAAGTGTATTAAATGTAAGAATACAGTCTTGAAGTGAAGATTAGTAGTCCAGGATATATATATATATATATATATATATATATATATATATATATATGGGCTCTTGTATAACTCTCTGAGAACACCTTGTGTCTGTCTCCGTATCCTTCAACCTGTCTCAACGTATCTCCACGTATCTCAACGTATCTCGATATTTAACAGTCCACCCACGAGGAATGTATGTGGTACAAGGCCTAGTTTAAAGTGGGTTTCTCCGAGCCCGTAAGTTCAGCCAAAAAATATCCTCTTTGAACCTGCCTAGATGGGTTCGGGGCCTGTGTACCTCCCCGGACAAAACTCTGCCCTTCGGCAAAGCTTCGCCCGGGTTCCTCTCTGCCAAAGCAATGAATTCGACAGACGTCGAGACTGTATCTCGGCGTATCTCAGTATTTAATATCCCACCCACGAGGAATATATGTGGCATAAGTCCGAGTTTAAAGTGGGTTTCTCCGAGCCCGTAGGCTCGGCCAAAAAATACCCTTTGAACCCTCCTAGACGGGTTCAGGGCCTGTTTACCTCCCCGGACGAAACCTTGCCCTTCGGCAAAGCTTCGTCTGGGTTCCTCTCTGCCAAAGCAGAGAGTTCGACAGACATCAAGACTGTATCTTGACGTATCTCAACAACAGGTATTCTCTCTGTCAGTATAAGTATACTTTGGACGAGTCCATCTTATGTAAAAAGGGGACAGCCTCACAACAATAAATAAATAAAATATTGGCTCATTGGGGCAGTTAATCTTCATCTCACTAGATCATACCTTGATAGGAGATATCACAAATTATACTTAAAGTTAGTTAAAATTTAATAGAATATAATTTACTGGCCGCCCCCCGATTGCACCCACAGCCGAAAGGTATGCACCTGAGTCAACACCTACACGTAAAATCCCATTGCTTACCTTCTGATTTTATTCATTGTAATTTTTACAACTATTATATTCTGTAAATTTGGGATTGGGTAAAAAGGAGGGGAAGTGGAAAAGGGAGGAATTAAATGGAAGAAGGAAGGATTGTCATTTTAAGTAGTAACAGCTTGAGTGCAGGTCGACTACCATATTTAAACTCCAGGTCTTTCGAACAGGAGTAAAAGTTTATCTCTTGTTTCCTGTTTTGGGTTTCTGATTTTTTCTAAAGTCTACGTCAGCTCTTCTAACGTCTCCACCTAAACTTTAAAATGTTATTTTCTGTTCCTTTCTTCAATGGAAGTAGATAGGTTCACCTATAGTCCGGTTCATCCCACCTCCGGGTTTTTTTTGTTTTTGTTTTTTTTCTTTTGTTTTTTAAAGAAAGAGGTTTATCCCTTGCTTCCTGTTTAGGACTGGGTTTCTGATTCCTTCTAAATTCTACCTCAATTTTATCTTCTAGCGTCTATGTCTAAACCTTGAACTTTTTTACTATTTATTTATTTAGCTTTTATTTTTTTTATTTTTTCCTCGATGGGTGTAGATACGGTCACCTATCGCCCGGATCATACTCCTTCCGGTTTTTTGGGGTTTTTTTTTTATTTTTTGTACCGGAGTAGAAGTTTATTCCTTGATTTCTGTTTAGGATTTGGTTCCGATACATTCTAAAGTCTACTTCAACTTCTAACACATCCACCTAAACTCTGAAATTTTATTTGCTAATTATTTATTTATTTTCCTAGATAGGTTTGCTTATCGTCGGGTTGACAGTCCTCCCGGGACTTTTGAACAGGAGTAGAGGTTTATCCCTTGTTTCCTGCGTAGTATAGGATTCCCGCTTCTTTTTAGAGTAGATGTTCCTTGGTTTCTGATTAGGATTGAGTTTCCACTTCCTTTTAAAGTGTGTTTCAACTCTATACTTCAAACGTCTCTTTCAAAACTCTGAAATTTTATTTACTATTTATTTACTTTTTCCTCTCAATAGGAGTAGATAGGTTGGTCTATGGTCCGGTTCACAATCCTCCACAGTCTTTTCGAACAGGAATAGTAATTTATCCATTCTTTCCTGTTTAGGATTGGGTTTCCAGTTCCTTTTGAAGTCTTTTCCTTCTAACTCATTTCCAGTAGTCCCTTGCGTCTTAGTGGCTTTATCGCCTTGCCTGTGGAGTGAATTGGTTAAAACAAAATGTATGTATACTTCGATCTCTTGGGAATATCTATGCTGACGATGCGCCTCCCAAAGTCTAGATGACCAGAGTCTGGCAGCTGTTTTCTCCTCTGACCCAGCTCTAAGAGCTCAGTGTGGAAAAAACGGGCCGGTCACCTGTGATGACACAAAAATCAAACTGGTGACGTTCGATCAACACCGAGCGGCCCTGGAATTTTCGTCTATAGCGTTAAACGCCTATTGGGAATTAAGCTCAACGCAGACCTCAAGTGGGAGTTGTACATTCGGCCATCGCGAAAAATGCTAGAAAAAGGGTTGGATCCCTGTACTACTCCAGTGCGTATCTAACTCCTCCTTCTACCCTCTACCTTTTACTAGAACCAGACAAGGCCGAAAATGGAATACTACTGCCATATATGGGCAAGAGCTGCCCAGTCTTCACTTCCCAGTCCGGATAGAATCCAAAACAGTCTCTGCGGCCTTGTGGGTAATGAATTATATCCACACTACAACCCCTTTCTCACAGGCAAAACGTTGCAAGCCTCTAGCTACTCTGTCGCTATTTCCATGGAAAGTGTTCAGATTAACTACATTCCTTAGTTCCACTAGCTCTAACCTTCATGGCTAAGAGCCACACATTGTTGAAAAACTACCCTCATTTCTTTTGTATTCCATTGATATGATGTAAATTCCAATCGAACAGCCTCTACTTTGTGGAACCAACTCCCAAGAGGATGCTTCCCCGACCACTAAAATCTTAACTTGTTCAAGCCTAGGGTTTACTGTTGTTTTCCCCACATATCCTTATAAACTGTGCCTCTTACCATTTATTTTGTAGCCTTCTAACTCGAGTGGCTCTTGGGCCTTGTATAGCGTAAACATTGCTGTAAAAATATTATTCTCTATTTAGATATATTGTATATATACCATTTCCACAATAAGATCAAATACGGAGATCTTATTTCCGGATTCTAGATAGATAAAGGTATATTGTAAATCGATAAATATAAATCCTAGATAGAAAAATGTATATTCTAGATAGATAAATGTATATTCTCGCATAATCAAATACCTGTGTTTTTAAGTTGTCCTACTTTCACTGACGTCACCAAGACTGTTCAACTCTTGCTGGCGGTTTCAGAAAAAATAAAAGCCATAATAAAGTATATTTGACTATCAGCAAAGTACGAGATTACGAACGAGAATTTGTGGCTGAAGGAAATGAAAAGAAAAGAAATGGACGCTTTGCATTTAGATATAAATGGTAAATAAATTGTTGTCATGAGGAGGATGTGATAGAGGCTGAAACTGAAAGTAAATCAGAAAGAATGGAAGAAGAATTCGTTTAGTAAAATAAAAAGGGTGGATATCGTGTAAGAGAAAAAGTGTTTAAACACGAGAATAAATTATGGTGAGGTGGGGGGGGGGAAATATTCGAGCATAGAAGAAAAGAAGCAGCGACAGAAATTGTAACAATAAAAAGAAATAAAAATAGTTTTATGAGATGTAGAAAAGAAAACGTGAACGATTTGAAAAGATTAGGAGGAAGAAATGGAAGGAAAAGAAAATCGAACGAGAAAAACAAAAGCAGAAGATAATAGAGGCAAGAGAAGAGAAAAAAAGAGAGTAGATTTAATAAGGAAGAGAAGTAAAAAAAAAAATGGCGAGATAAAATGGGGAGAAGGCAAGGGGAAGGCAATAATTTAAAAAGAAAAGAAAGCCAATAGTGGAAAAGAATGCAATAAAAAAAATGATTGATCAGGAACAAGAAGAAGGTAAAGCTTAATGTAAATATTAAAATAAAGAAGAGAAATTGTAGAATGATGAAAGTAAAAGAAAGAAAGAAAGAAAGAAAGAAAGAAACAAAGAAACAAAGAAACAAAGAAACAAAGAAAGAAAAAGGTGTAATATAGAAAAATGAAAAAAACAAACAATGAAGAAAAGAAAAAGAAAAAATCAATAGGGATATTAGGAAAAAGAAAAGAAAGAAAGAAAGAAAGAAAGAAAGAAAGAAAGAAAGAAAGAAAGAAAGAAAAACGAAAGAAACAAAGAAAGAAAAAGGTGTAATATAGAAAAGTGAAAAAAACAAACAATGAAGAAAAGAAAAAGAAAAAATCAATAGGGATATTAGGAAAAAGAAAGAAAGAAAAGAAAGAAAGAAAGAAAGAAAGAAAGAAAGAAAGCAAGAAAGAAAGAAAAGCGAAATATATCGAAATGCAGCGAAAAAAATTTTGTCTATCTGGGAGGAGAAGTTCCCATTATTTACATCATCTACATGGGGACTATTTTCCTAATCTTTGTTGTTATTACGTTTCTGGCAGTTGCCAGCGAAGATAATAAAAGAAAATGCTGATACTAGCAAAAGGTTGAGGAAACGAAGGAGAAAGTCGAAGTTAAATAAAAGAAAGAAAGATAGACGGAACGGGTGGAAAAATTCACGTAGAAAAAGAATTTACAGAAAATAAATAAATAAAAAAAAATAATTGAAGAGGCAGAAGGAAAATAGAAGAACCGAGGAAAACAGAAACAAAAGCAGAAGGAATATAATAGAAGAAAAAGGAGGGGGAGGAAAAAGGAGGAGGAGGAGGATAGAAGAAGAAAAAGAAGAAGAAGAAAAGGAAAATAATTTGAAGAAGCAGAAGGAATATAATAGAAGAAAAAAAGGGGGAAAAAAGGAGGAGGAGGAGGATAGAAGAAGAAGAAGAAGAAAAAGAAGAAGGAAAATAATTGAAGAAGCAGAAGGAATATAATAGAAGAAAAAAGGAGGGGGAGGAAAAAAGGAGGAGGAAAAGAAGAAGAAGAAGAAAAAAAGAAGAAGAAGAAGGAAAATAATTGAAGAAGCAGAAGGAATATAATAGAAGAAAAAAGGAGGGGGGGAGGAAAAGGAGGAGGAGGAGGGATAGAAGAAGAAGAAAAGAAGAAGAAGAAGAAGGAAAATAATTGAAGAAGCAGAAGGAATATAATAGAAGAAAAAAGGAGGGGAAAAAAAAGGAGGAGGAGGAGGAAGAAGAAGAAGAAAAGAAGAAGAAGAAGGAAAATAATTGAAGAAGCAGAAGGAATATAATAGAAGAAAAGGAGGGGAAGGAAAAAGGAGGAGGAGGATAGAAGAAGAAGAAGAAAAAGAAAAGAAGAAGAAAGAAAATAACTGAAGAAGCAGAAGGAATATAATAGAAGAAAAGGAGGGGAGGAAAAAAGGAGGAGGAGGAGGATAGAAGAAGAAGAAGAAAAGAAGAAGAAGAAGGAAAATAATTGAAGAAGCAGAAGAATATAATAGAAGAAAAAAAGGGAGGAAAAAAGGAGGAGGAGGAGGAAGAAGAAGAAGAAAAAAAAAGAAAGAAGAAGAAGGAAAATAATTGAAAAGCAGAAGGAATATAATAGGAGGAAAAAAAAGGAGGATAGAAGAAGAAGAAATAAAAAGAAGAAGAAGAAGGAAAATAATTGAAGAAGCAGAAGGAATATAATAGAAGAAAAGGAGGGGGAGGAAAAAAGGAGGAAGGAAGAAGAAGAAAAAAAAAGAAGAAGAAGAAGAAGGAAAATAATTGAAGAAGCAGAAGAATATAATAGAAGAAAAAGGAGGGGGGAAAAAGGAGGAGGAGGAGGATAGAAGAAGAAGAAGAAAAAAAGAAGAAGGAAAATAATTGAAGAAGCAAGAAGGAATATAATAGAAGAGGGGAGGAAAAGGAGGAGGAGGAGGATAGAAGAGAAGAAGAAAAAAAGAAGAAGAAGAAGAAGGAAAATAATTGAAGAAGCAGAAGGAATATAATAGAAGAAAAAGGAGGGGGAGGAAAAAGGAGGAGGAGGAGGATAGAAGAAGAAGAAGAAAAAGAAGAAGAAGAAGAAGGAAAATAATTGAAGAAGCAGAAGGAATATAATAGAAGAAAAAGGAGGGGGAGGAAAAAGGAGGAGGAGGAGGATAGAAGAAGAAGAAGAAAAAGAAGAAGAAGAAGAAGGAAAATAATTGAAGAAGCAGAAGGAATATAATAGGAAAAAAAAAAGGGGGGAAAAAAAGGAGGAGGAGGAGGATAGAAGAAGAAGAAGAAAAAGAAGAAGAAGAAGAAGGAAAATAATTGAAGAAGCAGAAGGAATATAATAGAAGAAAAAGGAGGGGGAGGAAAAAGGAGGAGGAGGATAGAAGAAGAAGAAGAAAAAGAAGAAGAAGAAGAAGGAAAATAATTGAAGAAGCAGAAGGAATATAATAGAAGAAAAAGGGGGAGGAAAAAGGAGGAGGAGGATAGAAGAAGAAGAAAAGAAAAAAAGAAGAAGAAGAAGAAGGAAAATAATTGAAGAAAGAAGGAATATAATAGAAGAAAAAAGGAGGGGGAGGGAAAAAGGAGGAGGAGGAGATAGAAGAAGAAGAAAAAGAAGAAGAAGAAGAAGAAGGAAAATAATTGAAGAAGCAGAAGGAATATAATAGAAGAAAAAAAGGAGGGGAGGAAAAAGGAGGAGGAGGAGGAGAAGAAAAGAAAAAGGAAGAAGGAGGAAAAATAATTGAAGAAGAAGGAATATAATAGAAGAAAAGGAGGGGAGGAAAAAGAAGGAGGGGAGGAAAAAGCAGGAGGAGGGTGGATGGAAGAAGAAGAAGAAGAAGAAGAAGGAGGAGGAGGAGGAGGAGGAGGAGGAGGAAAATAATTGAAGAGGCAGAAGGAAAATAGAAGAACCGAGGAAAACAGAAGCAACAACAGAAGGAATATAATAGAAGAAAAAGGAGGGGGAGGAAAAAGGAGGAGGAGGATAGAAGAAGAAGAAGAAGAAGAAGAAGAAGAAGAAGAAGAAGAAGAAGAAATTTGAATGAAACAAATAAAGAAAAACATACAAATTAGAGAAAGAAAATTAACGGCGAACAAAAATTGTTGTTTGTGTTTTTTGTAGTTTGTTTGTTTGCTTTTTAGTTCTGAAATAAAGAACACTCAAGCCCCGAAGAAGAACAAAGAATTGTTGAGGGAAAGTCGAAGAAGGAAGAAGAATCAGAAACATCACAAGAAATAGATAAAGAGCTGAAACGACACATTGTAAGGAATAACAATGAAAGCGAGATAATGGCAGAATGAAAATTGCTGATGATAGAGAAGTCAATGCTTAATAACCGTGGTAATATCTGCTATCATCAAAGACGTTGTCTTTCTTTTAAAAAAGAAATGACGATGTGCGTCGAAGTCAAAGCCTTCCTGTTAATATTCTTCCGATACAATCATTTTGATGAGAAACGAACCGGAAGTCAACTTAGATGGTATCGCAAAAAAAGCGGCAACTGTTTTTATCGCCGACTCGAAAGACTCCGCTAAATAAGGCAAGGAAATGTCAAGCTGACCTGATATTCTGGTGCAAGCCTGATTCAAGGTCACAGATGAAGAGCACTCAGCCTAAAAACGCCTACAATGGCTTGTGAGATTCGCATTCCGATAGACATTTGTATTCTAATCGTTACTCAAGTGTAACTCTTATTTAACGAGTTTTACCTTGTCTTATACAAGGCCATTTAATGTGGAAAGAATTGATTCACAATGGTTTTTGAGACTAGATTCAATCAAGAGCCATAAATTTATACAGCATTTATTCTAGTCTATCACAAGAGCGGCATCATCAACAATAGATTGATTTGTTTTTATGGCTTATCAACCCTTATCAAGCCGAAATATTTTTTGCAATTGAATATTGCATTAACAATTTTTTAGAATAACAATGATTTTTATATATATATATATACTTTAAAAATCAGGAGGTCAGTTGAATCCGCTACCTTGGTTTCAACCTTACGGTCTCCTCAGGCGAATTTTATCAAATATTTGCAACCTCTGCTAACAGGAAAAATTAAAAATTAGTAATTATGGCATTTCCGGTTCCAAAGAACCTTTTAAACCCGAAATCCAAAATTTTAAGTCCTTGCTTACATATTAGAAAATTCCTCTTAAATATATATGAGGCTGGATAAAAAACAGATGGTACATTTCAATTACCCCCCCCCACACACACACACCTATATATTTTATTTATTTCTTCTCTCCTCCTCCTTCTTCTTCTTCCTTTTTCACACCCTCCTCATCCCTTTCTATTACACCCAACATCGTGCGTTTGCTAATTTATTTTTGAAAATAATGAGTTTTAGTTTTTCATTATTTTTTTTTTTTTAAAAAGAGCAATAAAGCGTTAAGAGGTCATTTGATAAAAATCGCCTGGGGGATACCGTAAGAATCATCAGGTATAAAAGAAGTATCCAGTTCTTTTATACCTGTTGATTGCATAGTGCATGAAACTCCGAGTTGTACACCCCTGTGTGGGCTATTTTATATATATATATATATATATATATATATATATATATATATATATATATATATGTGTGTGTGTGTGTGTGTGTGTGTGTATATATATATATAATGATAATTATAATATATATAACTATAATATATATATATATATATATAATTATAATAAATAATTATAATATATATATATTATAATTATTTTTAAAAAATATGATTCAATCGCTACATAAGAGTTCTCATGTTTCAAAAATAGAAGCAAAAAAACAGCTTATGTATTGAGCACTGTTTTTCAAAAATAAAAACAAAAATACTAAAGACCTTTGGATTATTAACCTAACGGTTCTTTCCTATTTTTCTATATATTTACACACACACACACACACACACACATATATATATATATATATATATATATATATATATATATATAATGTGTGACTACTTGTTTCTGAGAACATTCATCTCGGCATTCCCTGTTGTAGACACCTCCTCAGGTACATTTGTTTGTTCAATACCCACAGAGATTTATATTGAAGCTATGCTGAGCAGACCTTAGTTACAGTTTTAGGGTGTGAGTGCTTAATGTGACATATTCGACATTTGTAACAAGTCAAGTGCGCCCAAACACTTGACCACGATGATTTGTGACTTCATGCTAGTACAACCATCAACGGCTTTCGAATGATTCCGTCTAACCAATCTCAAAAGTGAGCTCTTGGTATTGTTTTCAGGCACTTTCCAATGGTACCACACCACGGGGTCATCTTCTCATGCCGACTACATCAAGAATCACGTACATGCCCACCATTGTGAGATTCGAAAGCGAGTCTCATAATCAGAAAACTAACGTTGTAAATACTCGACCACCCGCTCAAAATATATACAGAATGTGTGTGTGTGTGTGTGGACATAGGAATCAACATTGCACGGTAACTGCCGGTCTCTGGCTTCAATCCAATCTTCAGCCCCAGACAATAGATCCCATTGAAAGTCACTGTCATTATGTAGTGATGATGTCTATGTTCACACTGTGTATATATAAACATAAAAATGTCTTAAAATAATTGTCGGACTTTGTCCATTTCATAATGTGTGACGTCATTTCTTTACATTCGGATACGCATCGAGAAGATATGAATGTACGTGAGAAAATCATGGATGATTGTAATTTAAAAACAGTAAAATCGACCTTGCTAACCGAAACGCTCCTCTGTGGCTAAATCGGTAAAAGCACGTCAGACTATATGACTGTTCCGTATAGGATACAGGTTCGATTCCTGTTGGAGGACGCATATTTTCTATGACAATCTCTCGGACATTCAGGCCGGTAAATGTTGTTTAATACTGTTTATTATAAACAGAGCATTTACTTCGATATTTGTATCTATAAAAAGAATGTATAAACATAAAAATGTCTTTATATATATATATATAAACGCTCTACCTTCGGGTATTGAGCACTCTTCCACCATAAATAGAGTAAAATAGTTAAACGTTATTTTTGGTGGCCGCTCCGTTTATTTATTAATCAATATGTTTATTTATTTTCGTCTACCGGCCTGAATATTCGAGGAATTTTATTAAAGAAAGATATGCACTTTAGTAAGTAGGATTCGAAACCGCGACCGCCTTGGCAGGAAAAACCGTCGTCAGATCCGACGTGTTTTAGAGCGACTCTGTCACGGAGTGACTCATCAATCAAGTTGAATAGCACCTTATAAACACAAATCTTTCTCGGACTCTCGAAACCTTCATATTTGCCTAGTTTCGTATCCTAACGTAAACAAAGCAATTTCAAAAAGAAATGATGGATTTTTATTTTTTTAATCCGACAGATTTTATTACTTTAACATATGGCATTGGTTGCTTCGTTGATATTACTTAGCAGCATATCAATCTATATGGATTGTAAATGGAGCTATATGGAATGGTAAAAACTAAATATTTGGTACGCAATTTTATTTTTATTTATTTCTTTTTTTTTGAGATGATGGTTTTAGTGATACAAGTCTTCCTAATTAACCCATAGTTGGGGAACGAATTGGTGGATTCATAACTTTCACAAGAGTATTTGCGCGTAAGTGAATATAATCCAACTGAAATTGAAACTCGGCTCCCTGATTAACAATTCCGAACCATTAGTCATTGCACCACCCGCACATCCAAGCTTACAATACCTGATATTCCCAACGATCGCAGACACAAATAACAAAACCAAAGATAGGGCTTCGTATCATTCTCACTCCTACAAATAGATTTACACATTTTGATTCTAGAAAGTTCTTTGATCTTAGAAAAAAACGACAGTTGTGGGCTAACTTGTTCTTTCGTGTTTTAGTTGCTTGGTTTTGTTTCGTGTATATCAACACCTCTATGGGTTATTTAATGCCGTAATATAAATAATTTGAACAAAATTTTATGGCTTCAGCTACTAATATTTTGTACATACTTTTATGCTTTCAGTGTAAATGTATGTTTTATAGATATGTAGTTTCTGGATGATCTATCATATTCTGGATGATCTATCATATTCTGGATTATCTATTCTGGATTATCTATTATATGTCTTGGTATAAACCTATTTTTTTAAGATAGTTTATTATGTGGGTGGTTTCAGTATTTTCATATAGTTTTCTCATGTTATCTTGTATTTATATCGGACAGAAGCGAAGGGAGTACATTCAGGTAAAAAATGTTTCACAAAAGAGTGCAGCTTGGCATGTTGCATGAACTCAGAACGCAACGATCACTTGACTGTATCTCTTTTAGGTGTTAACACCATTCTTACTTTGTGAACATTTTTGCCTTATACCTGTTGCTTTGCCTGCACACACACACACACACACACACATATATATATATATATATATTGTAATCCATCACAGATCATTAGTGTTGTTAGACGTTCGGTTGCCTTTAGCTAAGAACGAAACCCGGATGAATTGGCATCAGTCGGAGATTCTACCCACTACCGTTGGCGCACGACAGGAATGAAGGGGAATTTACGCGTATTTATTTTCAGATAAATACACAGTGGCTGAGAGAACTCGATTCGCTTTACCGAGGAGTCTTGCATTGTTAGCAGTAATAGTCACTGTTTACAAACTCACACTTCCTCCCCAGAGAGCTCAACCGAAATAAATTTTTCAGGAGCATATATATTGTCTTTACTTATATATATATAAGTAAAGACAATCCTTAAAAATCCATTTCAGTTATAATTTATTTCATGAATATATTCATATATTCATCTCATCAGACCGAAGTTTTTTTTTTTATTTTTAGAAATGAAATCAATTTGTACAGACAAAAGGAAAAGGGAAAGCAAAAAAGAAAGAAAAAGAAAAAGGAAATATTTTTATTTCTCTGTTACTTATATTGTGCTCTCTTTGGAATTATGTCCTACTTGGAATTATCCCTACCAATTACCAATTGGTATTATATATATATATATATATATATATATATATATATATATATATATATATATTGCTTAATATTATTTTGCTTTGTTCTTTTCTTTCTTTTGTTATTGTTTACTGAAAATA